GAGCAGCGGAGGACGTGGAGAGGAGGAGGAGGAGGGGAGGAGAGGTCTGGTGTGCTCGTCTCCTCCTCTCTATGGTTCATGTTGTTTTGGCCGTTGGTTGATTTGCTGTAACTTTTCCTCATTGATTGTTACAGTTTTTCACTTTGATACTATTTTCAGAACTTTGATGTCACTTTTCAAACCGTTGTGCCGCTGACGTAATACGTATATAAGATATATGTGAATATAATCCATCCAATACATGCTTGTCATCGTGGTCTTTGCCGCCAAATCCTGATTGAAGATCCTTTGAGTTCTCCTCATCTTCTTCATGTTGGTGGATCAGTGTATTTTTTGAAGTGAAGGACGACTTCCTGTAGAAGCAGAAGCCGATCCGAGGTCCAGACCGAGTGGTCGTAGGGAGGCGAGGGAGGCGAGGGAGGCGAGGGAGGGGAAAGGGAGGCCGGAACACAAAGAATCATTTAAACTCTCCTTCAGGTTTGAGAAGCTGCTTTTAACCCTCCACCCCCCTCCACCACCTCCACCCTGAGCCCCCCCTCACAAAGAGCACCGACTCTGCAGGATCCTCCGCGTCGTTTCTCGGCTGCGATGATGCATCCACGCAGCGCTTGTTGCGATCGAGCGGCGCGGCGATACGTCTCCGGGTGGCGTACAGATGGTGTAATTATCTCCTGGTGGGGTCATTAGAGGATCAATGCGGGCCGGTGACGGAGGTGAGCTGATGAGGGGGGGGGGGGTCTCTGACACTTCACTTTCATTAATTGTGTGTAATAAGGGATTCCTGTAGCTGTGAATCCAACCGGTTTGACCTTTGACCCCTAAAGCCTCACTAACGTGTCTCACGTGTTGGCAGCTTTCTCACTGGTTTCATTCCTCTGAAATACTTCAGACGTCTGTTGGGGCACGAAGAGCTTCCTGTTTCAGTTTTTTTTATTGCTAAACGTCAGCGGGCACAACTGGAGTCACATGTGCAAAACTCTGACTCCAGTCTGCAGCAGCAACAGTCACCTGAGCTCAACCGCTCACATCACCTGCACAACTCACTGCAAGCAACACAACTCTTAACACACAACACAAACAGGCTCAGTGCAGGAAACACTGTGAGAACACACACTGTCACTCACACACTGAGAGTACAAACACACAAAATACTCACTGTTCATCTTTACACTTTCAACCGTTTCAGTGACGTCATACAAAGTAAGATTTTCTTCAAAGAAAAGAGTCACATTCTTTCACATGATTTATTACATTTTTAGAACATAACAATTCTTTAAGGTAAATGAAAATTAGCCGTTTGCTTCAATCGTCTGTAGTAATTTACAGAATTACAGTAATGAGAAAAAGGTAGAAAGTAAAAGTACAGACTGTAATGTGAACAAATAACTGAGGGCTGATCCTGCCTCTCCTGCCTAGCATCAGGACACAGGTTCTCATCACCATCACATCTGATGTTCTCTCTCCATCAACCTGGGGAAGAACCTTCTGGAAGCCTCGTCCATCCCTGGCCGTCCTCTGGACTCGTGTCCTCACATCCGGCTTCCCAAAGAGACATGTGGTCATGTGGGTGGAGACCAAACACCTTCCACCTCCAGGCAGAGAGAAACTCCTCTCACCTGTTTGTGTGGTGGAGAAGTTGCATCACAGACGCCACTGTGGATGTTTGCAGATCGGGTTCCACCCTCAACGCTCTCAGTGAGAGACGTGGTTCACCACATGGTCCATAAGTGAAGCCCTTATTCCATCTGAAGTAACAGCTCTTTGTCTTCTTTGTCTCCACCAACCCGTCTTCCTTCTTCCACTTCCAGAATGAGTCTTTCTCAGCTCGACCTGTATATGTGTATATATATACATATATATAAATATATATGTATATATACATATATATACAACGTCGGGTGACCAGTCCAGGGTACACCCTGGACTGGTCGCCAGCCAATCGCAGGGCTACACAAAGTGCTGTAAATCCACAGTGTTGTGCAGGTTGTGGAGACGTCATGTGATCAGCGTGTAGAGTTTTGAAAACTGTGTTCGAGCAATGAAAAGGATCTAGAGTTCGGTCCTCATGAACTGCTGCTGTGCAGACTGGAGAGTTTTGCACACGTGACTCCAGTTGTGTCCGCTGACGTTTAGCAACCGGAAAAAACTGTAAGAGTTTCACAACAAAACAGCAGAGATCGACTTCAGGATCATCAGCTGATCACCGAGAAAACTGCAGAGGGCCCAAAAAAAACAGACAACCCCAATATTCAGAGTTAAGTCATGATTGACTGTAAAAGCAGTTCAACGTCCAAGTTCAACAGTATTCATCCTGCCACGTAACCCTCCCACTCGATGAATAACGTCCTCCTTTAAGCCTGAAGCTAATATAAATAAAAGATTTGGTGTCTGTTTTAAAACTGTTAATCTGGTTAATATGGTCAATATTTCAAAGCCGCATCTTTAACGTCTGGGAATAAAACTACTTAATGAAGGAACCATGGCCAACATTCACTGTTATTTAAAAATGAGACTTGACGTTGTCGCAGGAGCAGGAAGTCAGATCACTTTGCTTTCTTCCAATGGATCATCCCAAAATAACAAGTTCCCCCGAGGGGACAAACACAATATGTCTTTGTTATAATTCATTTCCCAGAGAACCCAGTTAAGAGTCAAAGTAAGAGCAGCCCTCTGGATGTCATTTAAACACAATGAAGGCTTATGGAGTCCAAGGAGAAGAACTCAGCTGAACTCCGGGTCAAGTGAGGACAGCTGGTTCATCCCCAATCTGATTTACACACTTTGATATGACATATTCTTCCTGTTAATGTCATTGTACTCGACCAGCAACACTTGTGTGCCCCAAATCAATCTGCATTATCTTCCTCTTACGCTTATTTCTTGCTTCCAAGTTGAGTTTTTTGTTTTGTTAGAAAGCACTTATCAAAACAGACACAGGCTTCCTCATAAAAGTGATAACGTTATGAGCACATGAGCCACAAAGACTTGAGAAGACCCTTAAGGACTAAAGCACGATGACAGAAACCACAGCTGGAATAAAAGCTATGGAGAGTTCGGGACGCGTCTCCATCTACTCGAGTGGAACAAACCGCTGGACCTCTTCGTGCCGACCGCTCATTACCTGTAGAAGTGGATTTAGTACTAGTACCACGAGCAGTAACCATAAACAATGTACCAAGTAAATAGTACCAGGCAGGAGGCCCCGTTTGGGCTCTCTGCCCTGGTTTGAGAAGCATTTCCGTGGTGAGAGAGAGGAAAAGTATGGAGCAGTGTGACTGTTCTAATGAACAGGCTCCAAGCAGCCTAACTAGACCCAGAACTCCTTCCACTGGAAGCAGGAGCTGCATCGAGCCCCGGCCTGTCCTCGCTTAGGACAGCGTCTCCATGACAACAGCAGGATTCACGGAAGGGCAGCACACGGATAGAAGCCGTGTGTTTGTTGTGTTCTTAGTGTGCGCCGTCGCTCTGGCTGGCCTTCCCCCCCCGAGCTCCTCCTGGGTCCTGAGACTCTCCCAGGCAGGTTAGATTAGCAATCTGTCCAGTATGCTGTGGACCCCCGTCCTCTGACTGGGTGTGTCCAGGATGCAGGCAGGGCTCCTCATGCTGAACCACATCAACAGACTTGTTTCTGCTTGAAGAATCGCCGGTTCTCCCGAGTTCCTTGTAGACCCTCCGATGGAAAGTCTCATACCTCACAACCATGGGCAGTTTGAGGGGGGGGCGGCATGTGGAGGACCGCTGAACCAAAATAAATCCCACTCTCACGAACAAGAACAAAGGAGTCTATATGTGATCAACAGTTTGGCTGTAAAAAGTGTATCAAATAAGGATTCTCATACTTTAGACTTTTATTGTGAAGGTCTCCAACCAACATCTGGGTAACCAAATCTTTTCTGTTCTTTTTGTTCTCCAGTAAATGTCCCAAACACAGTAGTGGAAGCGATGACCCGGCAGGAGTCCCTTCAGTCCTTCAGCAAGAACGGAAAACCCTCCTCCTCCTCGTCCACCTCCTCCTCCACCCCCGCCACCACCCTCATGCGCTCCATGGTCTTCCCCCACTCCCCCTGCCCGAGGAACTTCTCCCTCTTGGACAAGGTGGGGATCGGGGTTCAGTCGGACGTCAGTTACGGACAGTTGGGGTCGAAGAACCAGCGTGTTCTGGCGAGCCCGACCTCCACCAGCCAGCTCAGCAGTGACTTCAGCGACTGGCACCTGTGGAAGTGTGGCCAGTGCTTCAAGACCTTCACCCAGAGGATCCTGCTGCAGATGCACGTCTGTCCGCAGAATCCGGACAGGTAAGACAACCTCTTTTAGGTCTCCATTTTTCAATTCCATTAACAAATCAAAGGTTTCCCTCAGAGGGATTCACAGGACATCATCGAAACCGAAGATGTTTGGTGCTGAGTGAAAGCATCTTCATCATCAAAAGAGTTGAAGGTCATTTATTTTCCTCATGAACGTTACTGCTGGATAAAACCTTTACTTGGAGTTTCTGTTCTTAAATTCCTTAAATTAACTCAAATGTTCACAAACTGTCACAAAAGATGGTTCTCCGCGTTCCAGTTTAAAGCTTTTAACCCTGGTAGATGGAATAGAGGGATTCAGTGTGTGGTGGAGAACCACCCTCCTGTTTGCCATCTATAGCTGTCATTTTAATTAACAGTGTCGGCTCGGTCCGTTTTCTGGAGTTTCCTTCCCCTTCCGTCTTCCTCCCAACAAAGACATGCAGCTCATGTTACTCGTTGAGTAGCAGTTAGTTCACATCGGCTCCCCGATGGATAAGCGGTTAAAGGTAATTGATCCATAGAGGAAGAGATTTTCTACTTGCAATTGTTTAGCATCTTTTAGTTGTTCCGACCACCAGAGCGCTTTAACGCTGCGTGTCATCATTAACCCCTTGATGCTGCCATGCCCGCTGCCATGCCCGCTGCCATACACGCTGCCATACACGCTGCCATGCCCCCTGCCATATACGCTGCCATGCCCGCTGCCATGCCCGCTGCTATGCGCGCTGCCATGTCCCCTGCCATACACGCTGCCATACACGCTGCTATGCCCACTGCCATACACGCTGCCATGCGCGCTGCCATGCCCCCTGCAATACACGCTGCCATACACGCTGCTATGCCCACTGCCATGCCCGCTGCCATGCCCCCTGCCATACACGCTGCCATGCCCGCTGCCATGCGCGCTGCCATGCGCGCTGCCATGGCCACTGCCCTGCCCGCTGCCATGCCCCCTGCCCTGCCCGCTGCCATGCCCCCTGCCATACACACTGCCATGCCCCCTGCCATACACGCTGCCATGCCCGCTGCCGTGTAAGGCACTGGCTCGTCAGACTTCTGATGGCTTAAAAGAAAACACAATTGAATCTTTTTGGTAATCAAATCAAGTGACCCTTAAACAACATCAGTGTTTGTGTGTCTGTGATAGAACTGAACTGTATCTGCTATAAGGTGGTGAACATCAGTGGTCCCCAACCACCGGGCTGTTTGGTGCCGCACCACAGAAAGCTTATATATATATTTTTTTCTGAAAAATGTTTTATTTTGAAAATTGACCGGAATTTCTCCTAATTATGTGCGCTCGTCTCTCTGACATATTCCCCACGCGTCACCAGGCGTTTTTCTTGTCCTTTTACCGTGCACGGCAGTATCGCCGACCAGCGAACACAGAGCGCACGACTACTCCCCCCCCCCGTCGGACCTTCTCGACCGGTCCGCGAAATATTGTCTGACATGAAACCGGTCCGTGAGGTAAAAAAGGTTGGGGACCGCTGGTGAACATGACACGGCATTCCGGTTTTAAAGCTTGTAGCTTTCTCCAGAAGGTGTGATCACTTCTGGCCTTACTATGGTGTCTCACCATCACACCATTTGTGTGTGACAGGAGGTGGGAGTGAGGAGAGCGTAAAAGTGTCCAAGTGTGTGTAACATCTGCCAACTTAATTATAAACACAGAGGAGGGAGGAAGAGGAGCCGTGTGTGTGTGTGTGTGTGTGTGTGCGTTTGTATTTGTGTATTGGGGGGGGGGCGGAGGATGTATTGGACATTTTTTGCTTAGCTTTATTTTTTTCAAGCAGCGGAGTCAGAGCGGCGTATAAATCAAGAAGTCGCGTCGTTGAGAAATACCTCGCCTTACGGTGACGGGGGCAGGAAAACAGATGCCACTTATTCAATAAAGTAATACTCACAGGGAAGAAAAATGTGTGCTGAATGTGGAGGGGGGGCTGCCTGTCAATAGGAAGGTTTTATGGGACGGAGGAGCAGATAGAATTCAGCTGAACAAGCCGAATTGGCTCGAGTCCTGGAGCTCCAAGGCGCCAGTGGGCCTCACGCTCATGTGGACTGGGACCAGCAGGCCCGTCGCAGGAACCGGTCTGCCCAGAGTCACCTCCTGCAGACAGGGTCTTTTATTTGGGCTTCAACCTCAGTGTTAATAACAGCAGACTTGGGTCAATCGCGTCTGGAGTCCTGTAGGTGGTTCTAGTGCTCATTGCGGACCTTCTAAACGTCCTGTAGGTGGTTACAGTGGTCTTTGAGGAGGAATGGAGTCATGTAGGTGGTTCTAAAGCTCATTGAGGACCTTCTAAACGTCCTGTAGGTGCTTACAAGTGGTTATTGAGGAGGTATGGAGTCATGTAGACGGTTCGAAAGCTCATTGAGGACCTTCTAAACGTCCTGTAGGTGCTTACAAGTGGTCTTTGAGGAGGTATGGAGTCATGTAGGTGGTTCTAAAGCTCATTGAGGACCTTCTAAACGTCCTGTAGGTGGTTACAGTGGTCTTTGAGGAGATATGGAGTCATGTAGGTGGTTCTAAAGCTCATTGAGGACCTTCTAAACGTCCTGTAGGTGCTTACAGTGGTCTTTCAGGAGGTATGGAGTCATGTAGATGGTTCTAAAGCTCATTGAGGACCTTCTAAACGCCCTGTAGGTGGTTACAGTGGTCTTTGAGGAGGTATGGAGTCATGTAGGCGGTTCTAAAGCTCATTGAGGACCTTCTAAACGTCCTGTAGGTGCTTACAGTGGTCTACGATTACTGACCCATACTCATTCGGGCATTTATATTGTTCACTGAAGAGGCTCTATGTGGCCTGTAGGTGTTTTTGTGATATTTCCTTTAAGAGGTGCTCTTCTATGTGGTTGACCATTCAAGCTGTTTACTTTTATCCGTCCTCACGTAATCAGAGACGGCCGTCTAGACATCAAACCAATATTTCCCGTCTGTGTACAAAGGAACTGGGCCCATCAAGCATATTCATTCATGTTTACAGGACGTGAACATTTGAGGGCCCTTTACACCAACGTCACCCTCTTTCAGGTTGGTCCTCTTTACGCTGACTGTTCCCAACTTTTAAAAATTCTGTTTCACTTCAAAACAATCGATCGGACAGTTTGTTTGTGTCAGTGAGGCCTTGGAGGTGCTTTTGATTCGGGTGTGAAGCGTGTAACCGGATGAATAACCGCTGCTCGTGTGATGGATGTGTTTACTGCCCTGCTGTTTGAAAGCGTCATTAGCGCTCTCAGTGAAAACGGGCAGCGTTAGCTTAGCGCTTTGATCCTCAGTGCTCACAGCCCAGATGTCATTCTGCTGGTTCATGGTGTTTATCATTGTTTATATGGAAATAATCCCACCTGTATGTCAATGAATGGGAACGTTTACGGCTGATTGAAAGTGTGTATCGTCGCGCGGTTTAGTTTATAGAGGGATTAAGTGCTAATTTTGTCGTTTGTTTTTACCTCGGAGCTGGCCGCGGTTTCAGGTTCTTCAGTTTTTCCACACGATTAAACAAACTCCATTACTGAAGACCTCAATAATCTCACATGAGTAATGGAGCTTGTTCGACTGTTAACTTCATCCCCGGGGATCAACGTCAAAGACCTTTCCCCCAAACAGGGATCTGGAAAGGCTTCCAGACGACAACGCGGCGTTCTCACGGTGCTTGTTTGTACGTTAACGGAGTGGCGATTACGTTCCGATGAGTCAGCGACTCCCGGGGAACGTTGAGGACAATCAACTGTTTCCACATTAAGCAGAGAAGATCTCGTGTTGCTCTGATTGTTTTGCAGTAACATCATAAAACATGCAGGGCTGTTTGGTGTTGAAAAGCAACCGACTTAAAATCAACGCGCCGTCTCCACAAGGCGAAGGAACGAGAAGTCGACGGCCGACAGGCGGAACGCGGAGCCTCGAACACGCCGACCCACAAATCCACTTCCTGTCCGCCTGAGACCTTCCCAGAAACAACACGGGAATGTTTGCATGTCGGCCTCCAGCAACACTGTCGGCGTTCGGGTTTATCAGCCTGTTGAGCCTCTTGGCATTGAACACTAACACAGATGTGTGTGTGTCTGCAGCGCACAGATGTGTGTGTGTCTGCAGCGCACAGATGTGTGTGTGAGTCTGCAGCGCACAGATGTGTGTGTGTGTGAGTCTGTTTCTATCCCATGAAGACGTTCGTGTTTATTGACTTGTTTTAATTCAGTATAAATATTTAGTCTGTGACATCGTGGCTACCAGATATCATTTGTATATTTATTCTCTTGCTTTATTGGATCTTAAATGTAACGATGAACTAGTTGAAGTAGTCGTGTAAGGTTTGATTGACAGGGAGAGTCTTTAATCGATGGATTCATCACAACAGGCTTTTCATTTAGAGTTTATTGGTCACAGCGTATTTAACAGACGTTTAACCTGCTGATTCTGTTTTAAGGGACTTAATTCTGTATTTAGTTTTTAGTAAAGAACAAAGATCCACATTAAACTACTTTTAGATTCAAATTGAAGCCGACATTATTCATTATTTATCTAGTCTGGATGTGACTTGATGAGTTTTGGTAAAACAACGTTCTTCTTTACAAATTTTGAGGCTTTTTTTAAAAGCTCTTATGTGAATTATTGATCTGATGGAAATAATCTGTCACTGTCACTTTGATCCACGTTGTTTCACCGTAAATATGAAGTTATTGTTAATAATCTAAAGACCACGATGGTGTTTTAAAGCCCTCTGAACTACACTACCCACAATCCCCCTGGCACGACATCGCCGGCTCTGGGCTCGTTTGAGGAGAATCAGACGAGGACTTAATGAGCTTTCTGCCTGAAAGGACGTCTGCTCACACACACACACACTGCACATAGGTGTGCGTCTGTGTGTGTTCACAGAGCCATTGATTGTGTATTGACGAGGCGGCAGCAGTGATTTATAGCCGCTGGTCTCTGGAGGAACGACGTCTTCATACACAGGAGGACAGACGAGTCCTCACGGCGCAGAGACACGTCCTTATGGATTAAA